TTATAAAACGATGGATAAAAATTATTGTCGTTTAAGCGACGTTGAAATTAATTATTAATTAAATTTACTTTCAAATATAAAAAGTTAAAGCATCAATCGAGTACGCTTTGGTATTAAATAATAATAATAAAAATAAAAAGATCTCCAAGTGGAGTTAATTGCTCTGGTCGCCTGTGAATGGCAATAAAAACAAAGTTACACAACGGAAAAAAGAAAAGGAAATGAAGAAACGTTCTATTAATGGGTTAATAATTTTGCATATAAAGAAAGAAACATTAAAACACAGATCGTTGGCACGTGTACCATGAATAAGCACTTTGTCACCGGATAAATCTTTCTCTTTATCTATCTCTACCTCTATCTTTCTTTTTCTTTCTCTTTCTCTTTCTCTTTTTCTCTTTTTTCTCTCTCTCTCTCTCTCTCTCTCTCTCTCTCTCTCTTTATCCCTCTCTCTCTTTATCCCTCTCTTTCTTTATCTCAAAGACATAAAGGGAAAATTTAAAAGGAACGAATATAGCATTGTCTAGGCCTTCTAACGTCTGTTCTCGGTCAAGGCGTTATAAAGGCTTACAACATCGTATCAGAGTAATAGTACCACTTAATTACCACGATGACACGAAGAGAATAATAATTGGAAAACGTCACGAAGAGACTCTTTTTCTTTTTTTCTCTCTTTCTCTATCTCTAAGGTGTCATAAAAACTAAACTTTTTCACATATAAAGGGAAATGATGCGTTGATGTTACGGCTAATTAAAAATTTCCGTTCAAACATTTCTTATTCGATGATTAAATAATGATATTAATTTGGGATTAATTAAAATTTCGTTGTAAGAAAATTCTTATGATCAATGATCGCCACGATTAACGTCCGCCATCATCAACAACGGCAGCCATCTTTAATTTAAATGAATTCGTCCTTACGAAATTGTATTATTTTAAAAAGAAACAATAGCCGTTAAAATACTCTCTTAAACGTGAGAAAACTTCTTCATTGGCGATTAGATCGCATTAAAAAAATTCCGAGTAATTTATACATATATATATATATTATGAGTAACACTCGACGGTATATGCGTTTCACTGAGAAATTGCAAAAAAGAAAAAAAAATGTACTTCGTAGCAATCACGCGTTTTACGCATTTTGTCAAGGTAACGGAAAATATGATATCACATCCGAGAACTATTATATTCTTGATATTGTACGTGTGAAAGAAAAAAGAAGGGAGGAAAGAAAAATAAAAGAAAAGTATTTGAAAGAAAAGGAAAAAGAAGAAAAAAACAAGAAAATCTTGTAGAAAAATAACCTCCAAATTCGATATGCCGTTTGAGTCATAATGGCGGAGGAGGAGAGTATGGAACAAAAATATACGATACAATAAAATACAGTGAATACATGTATATATACATATCATAAATATACATATTGCGTGATCTAACCTAATTTCGTCTTCTTTATTTGGTGAGATATAAAATAAAGAGAAGCATTGAAAGAGAAAGAGAGAGAGATTCTCTTTGAATGAAATCAAATCAAATCTACATACATATGTATGCATATATGTCAACATTAAATTGTATAATTCAGTTAAATCGTGGAAACTTTAGGTTTTACCCGAAATGACTAGGCGGTTTTGGGAAAGTATATAAAATAATTGTATTATACACTAGAACTAATAATTTTAGAAAATAATAAGATTATATACGAATTCACAAGAGGCGAGTAATTAAAATATAAGATTGAAAATTGATCCGTCTTTAAAAATCTGCCTTTCTTTCTATAACAATGCTCGTAGTTATCTTTTTCTCATCTCTTCCTGTACTTTGAAAAGCAAATGTTTTGTTAGTTGTGTTGTTTTATCGGATCGAATCAATGGATTAAATTTCAACATCATACCTTAATTGTTCGCCACTTGTGAATTCATATGTTATCTAGTTGAACTATGTAATTGTGCCCTTTTTTTCGTATTTAAACAGATCACTATAGTCATCTAACAAATTAACGGCACATATATACAACATAATATGTTGTACATAAATCTGATGATATAAAAGTTCAATGAATACCGTTAACTAGGGATAAAGATAAAACAAAAAAGAAACGAATCAATGAAAAAGAAAAAACAACAAACATAACCTAAAAGAAAAAACCCAAAAAAGTTAAAAAACAAAGAAAAATCCACACAAGATAAACAAAAGAAGGTTTTGGTAGACGTACATTCAACGTCAGGGACATTTCCTTTGCTAGAGAAACGCACACACGGTCTGCCTTGGAGGTGATTTCTTTTTTATCTCTCTCTCTGTCTCTCTTTCCTCACTCTTTTTCTTTCTATTTCTCTTTATTTTCTTAGTTATTTTTCTTTTTCTCTTTCTTTATTTCTATTTTTCTCTCTGTTTCTCTTTCGGTGTTTTTTTTGTTCCGTCGAAATATATTTGGCGAGGAGAGGAGGAGGAGGAGAAGCACGTGAAAAAATTCGTCTTCTTTCTCTTTCTCCTTCTTTCTTTCTTCCTTTCTCTCTCTCTCTCTCTCTCTCTCTCTCTCTCTCTCTCTCTCTCTCTCAACTTTTATCCGAACTGTTTGTATTTATATTCGCGCGACCTGTTGCGTAAGAATAGACGAGAACTACGAGGACAACGGCAACACGACTATACGAGTATGTGTGTATGTGAGAAAGAGAGAGAGACACTCGTGTCAAAGATTTCGCATAATACGTAATAAATACGCTCGTGAGTGTGACACACAGAATAGAAACAAATCCTTCCTTTCATGGGTAAAAAAAAGTATTTTTCGACGATTAAACAAAATCAAAATGCGGTGACCAACCAGAACTTTCCTTTATTATTGTTACCAACGCGTGAATATAGCTAACTGTTATGAAAGTTAATTTCGAGTTTAAAGTTTATTTCGAGACACCTAAAGAGAGAACAAAAGAAGACTAATTTATATTACAAAACACGCGATTTTGAATCTAATTAAGAAAATATGAATAATAATAATAATCTATAAGAAACGTATGACCGTTGCAAGATTGTCGAATACGCGCTCAAGCTGAACTGACAGGAACGACGTTGCTGAAGAAAACGATTGCATGTGTGATCGCAACTCTAAATGTGCACACACATATATAAATGTTTATATATATATATATATACGTATGCATTGTATGATCATTTCCCCCCCAAAAATGATGCGTAAAAGCGTTCTCACGCAAACGCGTCATATGTATATGTCTCTGTTCGTTTTGATTTCCTTTCTCTTTCTCTTTCTCTCTCACATATACATCTCCACACACATATATTCATTCTTTCTCTCTCTCTGCCTATCTTTTAATCTCTTTTTATTTCGAGTAATCAACTTTGTGGCGTTTGATACACGAATAAAACGTGAACGAAGAAGCCGTTAAAACTGTTGTATCAATGACCGGTAAAGATGTAATGGAGGAGCGTGCGCTCGGTGTTCTTGACGGAGAAAAAGTCAAGTAAAATATCATTTATCGTTCTGCTTATACTACTCTACTATTATTCAACAACAACTACTACTATTATTACTACTACTACTACTACTACTATTTTACTACAAATTATACGTGTAATCTTTTCGACATGGGGCGCACGTACCGAAAACCAACGCTCACATTTAAATTTTCTACGCACGCATACATTCTTGATTATCATTCTTTCTCTCTCTCTCTCTCTTTGTTTCTTTCTTTTTTTTCTAATTTCTCGTTATCCTAGCCAAATCGTCAATCGTAACGTCGTATTCCATTTTTTCATTCAGCTAGTTAAATAAACAGACAAATAAGCTAATCTAGAGCTAACAATCGATAAGGAAAAAACAACAAGAGGAAGAGAACATCTGACGAAATTATCAAGGAAACGTATAAAGAAGATGAAGACGAAAAATAGAAGAACGAATCGAAAAAGGAAGCTACGCGATTGGACGAACACGTTGTTAGTTCTTTGGTAAATTTGGCTATGTTGCAACATAGAAGATGGCAAACTTATAAGATAACAATGGAAAGATCGATTTGTTCGATCAGATAGCAACGTGCGATGATCTCGTTGATCGTAGAAGAAAACAAAACACACGTACACGTATATACAAAGAGATAGGCAGCAAACGCACATAGAGATACGCGACAATAATATATAACAAGTAACCGCGAGAATTTTCTACATTAGCACGTAATACATTTTATGCACAGAGATACACCGTTTTTTATATGTCGTATAAAAGGAATTACATGGATGTTGAAAACATAGGCAGCTCTCCCTCCCCCCACCCGGATAGTTTCTATGGTGAGAGAAGTGATATACAACTATGATGATGATGATGATAATGATGATGATGATGATGTGATGATGATAATGATAATGATGACGATATGATTGTCTAATATCCACAGTGGATGAGTTTAGCAAGAGAGATTCATTTAGCAATGCGAAAAGCAAAAAGGAAAATATCGAGAAGCAGAGGGAAATAAGGAGCAGAGGGAGAGATAATGCATGGACGTGATGGCGGTGTATTTGTGTGGGTGTAGATGTGTGGGAGCGTAGGTGTGCGAGAGGACGCGCGTCGTCGCGACGCGTTTCGCGCACCACCGGTCATCCTCGTTCACGCACGGAGAGCAGCACTCTGTGCTCTCTTGGATTCTCATATTTCTTTCTTTCCTAGCCTTTCGAATCATCACGAACTTTCTAAGGGGACTCGATGAAACGAAGAAGAGTATCGCAGGACGATTAGAAGAAATTCACAGGTCGTGATCGCGACACTGGGCTAAACAACACGCATCTTTCCTCTTTCCCGGGGGGGCAGCCATTTGCTACGATCGAGTTGTGTGTAGAAAATAAAAGGTGTACGCACTATAAACGGAAGGCGATGCCACCTTGTAGTACGCCAGCTCGTATCGTGATAATCAAACACTAACGATCCTTAAGCTCTTCGATGCCACGACGCCGAAATCTGTCAACGTCTACGAAAAAAAATATTTGGATTTTTCTTACCTGAACAGTCCTCTATACAGCTAAAAGGATTCTCAGCTTCGAATATCGCGACCCCACGCTTACTTGTACGGCATATGGAAGTGTACAGGGAAAATCTCCATTACCATTGGCTTATTTCAGATAAGCCGCAAAAAGTAAGCCAATCAGCGCCGACCTTTTATGTTTTGATGCGTTTCTTTTTATCCCTCGATAAAATGTCTGCTCGTGAAAAAGGCGGGAAAACTCGCGCTCAAAAACGATTTCCCTTCTCTTTATCGATTGTCGTCCTTTAGAGTTAACTTTCATCCGTCATTAAAAAGAAAATTTTATCTTTTTATTTATTATATATTTACTTTTAATTCAATCGTTACGAATTATTGAAATTATTGCCTAAAATATTATATAAAAAGGTTAGATTGTATTTCTATTATAGATAGTGCCACTTTCTACACCGTTGCATTAGGAATAGGCTGATCGCAGGCCAGCCAACGTCTAATGAAATTAAAAAAAAAATATCTTTCTACGTTGTCAAAGTGCGACTTTTGGCGTTTATATTAATCGTGCTTATGGGTTTATGCGAACGTAAGCTTTTTTTTCTACTGTTTGGACGTAAGAGATTTATTGTAATTTGATTTAAGTAAAAATTCAGGAATTATATCTCACTTACAAATAAATAATAACATACTGTTAATAATCATATTTTTATAGTATTACTTTTTTATACTTATACCTAATTCTCATGTGTTCAGATACTACAAAATATTAGTTTATTTTACTATAATTATATTTTTTTTTAATGTAAAACATTTTTACATGTACTATATAATTGGTTCATTTACAATGCAATTTGACCAATCAGCATTTTTTAAAATGAAGCTGCATAAATGAAAATAATATCTGGGTAGAACTGAAAACAATAGTTAATTATTGTCTGTTATATTTTATCCAATAATTAATTACAGACTTAATTAGTACATTGTAGCTATATTGTGCATATTCGCATTTTGTTCCACGTAATTTTTTTTCCTATATTTATGTAGGGATTAACTTGATTGGTCTATATTTGATTATATTTTCGATAATAAAAAATATACATCAATTGTATCGATATCAAATTCGATATCTCGTAAAGAGTCATCGAAATTTAACCATTGATGATTACCGCCAGAAATCGAACGATAATTATACGTTTTTAAGATAACAAAATAACATTGTTTTATTTATTAATATTTATATTTATCAATTTTGTTGTGCTTCTAATTAATATTTGTATCATGGACAGTAAATATTCTGACACTGTATACACTTGGTATGTTAATATACATTAAAATACACATCATGTTTAATGAATTTTGTATCTATTTTTATTTATATTTATAATTTCATACTTTTAGGTTTGAAAGATGTGGTATCATATCAAATATTAGAACAAATCTACGCAGAAATTTGGTCAATGCGTTAAAATACAAGGATTTATCTTTAAAGGATTATTGTAGTAAATCTAAACCGGCTAAACAATATGTTTTTGATTTTCTTGTAGCAGAGTATTTATTTAATGGTAATTACGCTTATACTTTGTCAGTATTTGCTAGTGAAGCACCGCTTTTGATACAGTTTGATAATCATGTACCCGATAGTTATGATGAAAAAAAAACACACAGTAAACAGAAGTTACAAAAAGATTACATATATCATACGTTAGAGACTTTAGGAATACGACCAAGTGATCCTGAAGGACAATATATTATGTCGGAGTATGTAGATAATGATGCACCGTTGCTTTTATGTATATTAAAATGTATATCAGTTTGTACATTGAATTTTAACAAAGTTCCAAGTTTTAAAAAACCCACTATGACTAGCACCAAAGAAACACAGACAGATACTTCTCTCCGAATGAGTATGGATATAGAAAAATTAAGATCTATTAAGAAGAAAATATTTAGGCAAAAACAAATATTCGACATGCAGTTGAAAGAAAAAGAAATCGGATTAAAAAATCGTGCCGTTGTTATCGAAGAACAACTTATTTCTTTGAATGAAAAATTAGAAAAAGCCCAGGTATATTGTTATCTGATTAAAAATAGCATCTTATTTCTACAGATTTTGCACTCCAAATTTAATATTTTTATAAATTATCTCCAAACTTTCGTAAATAAATGATTTGAAAAAAGTTAAATTTGATTTGCAAAAAGGTTGAATTCAGAGTGCAAAACTTGTATCTACCTTATACATAATGTGCTTTTTTTAGAAATTAATGCATATGGTTACTTTGAAAGAACAACAATTGAATGAAAAAAACCAGAAAGAGGAACAACATTTGTTTCAAAAAGAAATAGAATTGTCCTTTAAACACAATGCTTTGCTATTAGAAAGCGAAAGGTAATATTTTCTTTAAAGGTTTGTTTAATAATTTCTATTATAAAAGATTTGAGTTTAGCAATAATAGAATTATTTGCAGAATACAAAAAAAGCAAGACATGTATGAGAGTTATAAGCGTGATTTGGAGAAATTGCATGAAGAGCTTGCTGCGACCAAAAAAGCTTTTTCTTCTAATTGCAAGTTAAGAGATACAGGAATACAAACGAGTTCTAGCATCGATTTGGGAGATAAAAATAAAGATGTACAATTTCATGGAGAAAAAAAAGAATTGGTCAAGCTTTTGCATGACCAACAATTAAAAATAGATGAATTAACTCAATACGCGATTCAATTATCACGTAGATTCGAAGAAATTCATCAATCGAGGTCTACTTTAATTGAAGATCCTATGATAACAAAAAAAGCTCTCTATACTAACACCATTGTTAGCGAAAGCAGTTCGACCGAGGATATATTGCAAGACGCTAAATTACGTTTGAAACGTTTGGAAGAAGAAAGTATAAAAGCCGATAGGTTTTATTATAATTCTATTGCTACATAATTAAATATGTTTTATACAAACACACACACACACACGTATTTTAGATCGTATGTCCAAAAGTGTCAATGATAATTTATTTTGTACAGATAGTTGATTACACCAGCACGATGATATTGTACATTTATTGGGTTATATCGTTTATATATATATACAGTATTATTATTATTATTATTATATTATTATTATTATTATTATTATTATTGTATTTTCATCAAATAAGTAAAAAGATAAAAGTTTTACTATAAATTTATTTGTTTTCATTAATCTATTGGCTATAATGTTATCAGACAATTAATAAGTACCTTCATAAGTATATATTACTTTTATCGGATATCAAAGCAATCTTTCACAATTCTTTAGCGACTAACACATATCGGTACAAACTTGTGACGAACAATTGTTTGTTTCTTTTTGTTTCAGAAATGATTAAGTAGTTACAATCAAGTGCAAGAAAGCACATTGAATAATATGAATTGAATGAGAAATAGTTTATTTTATAAAAATGGACGTTAACGTAATATACAAATTATCCACTAGTTTTTTTCTTTATTATGACGAATTCTACTTTTAATTACATGCAACATCAAACGTAATATATAAAATGTTAAATCAACATTTTTTCTGTTGCCGTGCATCATCTTCGTTTAGGATCTGAACTCCTCCTAGTATACTTTTATTAAGGACAAATAGTTCTACTTAAATTATTTTAATATCTTGTTTTTTAAGATAGTTTTCTAAGCGACTCAATATAGAGGAGCTTAGATATTTTCTAATAATATTTTCTTCTTGTATAAAAAGGATATTGTTTGTCTCTGTTTTCACGTCCTTCACGTTCATGTGTACGTTCCTTAGTATACGGAGATTTTTCCTGAAAATATATTGATGAATAAATGTCTTGTACGCCTTGTGACTTCTGCGATTAACATTGGGTACTTGATAGTATCACCTATGTTTTCTCGTCTTTGCTACTGTCTCCCGTCTCATCTTTTCAATATACTCGAAGTGGACGTCTTTATCAACTAAGGGGCCAAGTAACAAGGTTAGAAAAATAATAACAATTTTACTTTTAATACACAAAAACTAGCCAAATGTGAACTTACTGCTTTATACATTTCTTTTTCTTAAAAAAAGAGAAAGAAATAAATATCTTCTCCTTATCCCCCCTGATATTTAAAGAATTACAAAGAATACTACCAGAGTACAGTTCACAGATTTTCATAATGAATGAACTAACGCAAAAAAGATGAGAAAGACAGTTTTATATTATGCACTTTAATTGTGCATTATACATATTTTCTATATGTACAAGATGAGGTGCCTAACTGTTTTATCTAAATATCTCCTTTCTTTACAATTGTATTAAAAAACTTTAAAGGAAAAAGTTGTACTATTATAGGGAGAGAATCTAATAGTAAAAAGAATTTTGTCTCAAGGTCATTTTTATAAGATTTGAAGATTAACTTGATTTTTTTTTTAAATAAAACTATATATATTTTTTATCGCTTTGCGATAGTTAGCGTTAAGACAATTTCATTAAGTTATTAATGAAGGTCATTCAAGATCAAATATGGTAGTAAAATAAACGTTCTTATATTACAAAAAATATTTGAAATTGTGACCATTTGCATCCAATGCAAAGCTATAATCGTATCGCTGAAATACGTACATGTCTTATTATTCATTGATATGCCCTATCGTTACAGTAGCATGCAAAGGTGTAATTTTCGTAAACGTGTAAAATAGCTGAATATATATACATATCTTATTTTCCGTTGATACGCCTTATCATTACAGTAGCATTGGCGTAAATGGTCACAATTTCAAAAATCTTCTATATTGTAAGAAAGTTCATTTTACTACAGCATTTGATTTTGAATGATTTTCACTAATAACTTAACGAAATTAAAAAAAGTAAAAGTAAAAGTAAAAAAAAGACCTTGAGAACAAATTTTTTCAACCATTAGATTCCCTCTTTGCAATAGTGCAAGTTTTCCTATAAAGTTTTTTAATACAATTGTAAAAAAGAATTAAAACAGAAGCCATCCAAACTTACAAGTAATATTCATGCTAGCTTTGACTAGAGTTAAATTACATAAATAATAATTGAATGGGTGTTTGGAAGAAGAGCTCATGTTTAATTCTGTTGTTCTCTATGTTAAAAATTTGCGGTATGCCCTTTTTCCAAACACTCATTCAATTTATTTTTACTCATTGATATTAATAGAAATTTTAATACAAGAACTTTTTCAAATTTCTATTATTAAATTTTTTAGACAATTTAGTATTTGAATTATTAAATTATCTTTAATGGATATTACGTTTAATATTGTAAATAACTTCTATGCTCTTCGTCAATAATGAATTTTAAGTATACAAATTATATCTTCAAGATATGGAAGAAATGTTACATAAAGGCTGATTATGAGTAGAATCAAATTTTTCCTTCTAATTTATTTTTTGATTATTAAGTAAATTTTTAAATTTTGATCTATTTAAATTATTATATTTATGTAATTTAATATATTGTTCTTGTAAAACATTAATCCTTTGACTACGGAATCAATAATAATTTTGTCTGTACCTTGTATCACAGATATATATTAATAATAATATAACATTTTACTTACTTTGCTATAATGATGTTTTTCTCTGTGTTCCGTTACGTCTCCATTTTGATGTACTCCTTTGGCTATAACATATTAATAAAAAAATATATATTATCATTAATCTATTTATATATACGAGAGAAAATAAAATTATATACAAACCTCTTTCGTCATCTTTTCTTCGTTTTTGTTCAGTTTGTACCAAAGATTCCTCAGCTCGATCCTAAATCAAACATTAATTAGAATTAACGATTGAGATCGTAGTATGCGAATCGAAAATAGAAATTGTATTTTAATTTCTTACTCTTTTTCGTCCTAACTTTTTTTCTCTGCGAAGTTCTTTTTGTTCGTCGCGTACTTTAGTTTTGCTAGAACGTTCCTTTTTTTCAAGAGTACCTTCTGTTCTTCTACCTTCCTGCTAAAAATATACGTATTTATTTATTATTTAATAATGTTTGAGATATAATTATAATTTTTTTTATTTATTTTTTACCTTTGGAGTACTTTCAAGTTTTCTTCTTTTGGCTTCTGAAACTAATAATTCAAGTGTCTTGTATTAAATTCAATGGTTCACTAATAAAAAGTTGAATATTTATTTTTAAACTCCATAGAATCAATATGCATTATTAACATTAACTTTGATTGTGTACAAACCTCTTTCGGTTCCATCCGGTGTTGGTCCTGAACTGGCACTACTATTTGACACACTAGAAAGATCTCTGTCTAAATTATCCACGCCACCGCTATAATAATGTTCTTCCTATAATCAAAGTTATATTAGTAACAAAAAAGTCGTCATGCATTTATAAAAATCCATAAAAATGATTACATTATATCAGCACAATACATATGTGTTTGCATAATACATTATAATAAATTATTTACCTTGTAATATTTGCGATCTTTTTTGTCGATGCTATCGTCTTCTTTAGATTCCTCCTTTTTGATGTGTTTTTCTTTCCCATCTGCAACATCTTTACATTCTTCTTTTTTCCGAAGTTTTTCTGAACTTTCGCTGCTAGAAATAAAGTGCGATGATATGAAGAAAAAGGTAATAAAAATGTAGGATCATTGGGTTTTCAAACGTAGATTTTTATGATAAGCAAAGCAGTGAATTTAGTCTGTGTCATGAGGCTAAAGCAGTTACAATGTAACTTTCTTTAAAATATTTTACTGGTCCTACAGTTTAAGTAGGACTAGTGATATTCAACCAAATTGATCACTGATATAAATATACTTAATATATAAATATAGGTCATGACTTAATGACTGAATAAAAAATAGATAACTTACTGATGCGCTTGATTTACTGCACTACGTTTTTCTCTTTGCTCTTTGTTTTCTTTTTCTGTTCTGGTATCACCATTACTTATCTCTTTACTAATTCCATTACTAACTTTTTCTACTGTTTCATTGTTTGATGCATCTTGTGTTTTTCCCGCCTGTTTAGAGAAAATTTTTTGCAAGATAAAGAATAAATTAATACTAAAAAGAAAAAAGGAAAAAGAAAATATTATCGATAATCATAATTAATAGCTGACCTTATCGCCAACATGATGAAAATCTGATTCACGTATCATACAGGAATTTCTAGCTCTTAATTGGCCGCTATAAGATATTGCTAGGATATGTAAATCTTGACGTTGGCCACGTTCCTCTTCTTTAACTTTATCAACCTTACGTTCTAATATTTGTGAAAGTTTTGATAATACAGGAAAATGTGGTAATATTTTAATTAATATTATTAAAGAATTTCTTATTTGCACGTAATCCTTTGAATCTAAACAAACTACAATGGCCTAATAATTGTAAAAATATTTTAATTAATAACAGATAATTCAAAATATAATTTTAATGATAATTAATATCTATAAGAAATACCTTTGTAATTTTATAATGCCATTTATGACATACATGTCTATAATTTTCAAAACCGACCATGTCATTTGCTTCTGAAAATTGATTGCTTACGCGAAATTTAGTAACAAATCCCGGATAGTTACTACATTCCTATAACGAAAAAATGTATAAATAATTTTATAAGTTAAACAATGTTAAGCTCTTTGTACTATGAATTAATTTGCAGTACATCACGAATCGTGCAAAGGGTTAAATGTACAGTATATTATACCTTGTCGAATATTGCTCTTTCTGAATGCCATCGCATCACTGTCTCCAACATGGCACATAAAAATCTGCCATAACGATTTGCTTCGTTTTCTGTACACGAAGTGACTGAATATGTGATATCACAGAAAAGCTGAAAGAAAATAAAATAACATTTATCAAAATAATATTAACGAAACTATATGTACATTTAATTACTTTCAAATTTTTACTTACTCTATCATAGCAAAGGAGTGTTGAAAAATTAGCTGTCTTTAATGAATGAATGGTATGAACAAATTTTGCACAGTACATAGCATCTACCGTTGTAAATGTACATCTAGGGAATAAACACAATTGCAAAAATTGCGTTATTGTTTCATTTTTTGCAGATTTTGCGCTTCGAGATAAAAACCAGGAATCTTTCTCTTGTCTGATAAAATATAACGAATGTATTAAT